ATCGGAGAAACTCCTCGGTATAAAATATGGCAGGCTTGGCAGTCGTTATATCACCCGAATGGCAACATGCTTTAGGATTGGCACACACCCGAGTGCGCCCGAATGTGTCCGAGCTACCCGAATGGGGGCATTCGATGTATACATGCGAATCATGTATAGCTGGATAAATAGCTCAGTGAAGTGTAGCCAAGTTCAATGACATCCCAGGCAGTGTCAGAGTAAAATGCATCAGAAATGTAAAGTCTCATATTATGCCGAAGAAACTTACACAAACATACAGAGGTACCGGTATCGTAGAAGCTGCAACCTTTGCTTGTTCACATATCCCACGTCAGAAGCTCCCGTAAAGGCTTCGAATGCCAAGAGAACGTAAATGCCACAATTGTAGTTGTCGGTCTGGATACCAATGCTCGATACGTACGACTGGTGATGATACCTATCCTTCGGTATCGGTAGGCCCCCCACCAATTTGTGCGCGATAGCTCGGACGCTGGCCGCATAGGATGATGACATCGGGTCGTAAGTGTATATGCTTTCGGTCGATAGGTCGATCATGATAGCGCACCAATGATTTCCATTACAATTGATGGGAACGAGCACCTTTTCGTCCGAAACCCCGGCGAAAAGAGACGCAAGGCCCTCCATGTCTGCAGTGTTTTTCCCGTTGACAACTACACCGACGTGGCTCGAATCAATGGTGACCACCCCTGGTGTGGACGCAAACATCACGTTCATCACCGCATACATGCACTCGTCCCCGAGTGACCCTCTGGCAGCAAGGTCTAGTAGATGTATCTGTGCTCCAATGTTAGTCTTACTAGCCTTATTTCGAGGTAGTACAGTGACAAGATGACGTACCGAGTCAAAGCGAATCTGTAGCTGCTTAAGCTTGCTTGGTATCTCATGGTCTGCTTCAATAGTGTAGTCCGGGCTAAGCGGCTGGGTGAAGTCGATTCGGCTGATCCAGTTCAGCGTTTTGTCAATAGAGTCGAAGATTGTAATTGCGTGATGCCAACCTTTCATCATTCGTAATGTCGTTGTTGAGAACACACCCAGACTAATAATCTCGACCGATACGTCTCTCTCCGATAATCCAGACGTTTTGCGTTGAAGCGCGGAAACCTTCGCGTCACACTTTCTGAGTATGTCTTTGGAAAGCACTCGAGTCAGCAAACTTGAGTCTGTCAGCGTCTTGCCTGCAGGGAGTTTGCTCGTCTGTCGGGCCACTGGGGGGTTAGCAAGGAAGTAAGCGCGTCGCCATGAAGAGGCATGAGCACGTCCAACTATTCTTGTGAACCGTGTAACTGACTCGAGGCTCGTCGAGGGCATCTTCCGACCTTGATTCGCTATGGATAGCGTATACTCCGGGAAATACCTCATTATACTGATACGAAGCTTGGGCGACGGCAAACGTGTACTGCTTGTAGATCAGCTCACAAGCGTGTTGGCCAACGAGGTTGGCAACATGCTTCATCTCCTTATCGTAGTGAGTATGCTGGACGGAAGTCACTTTAAAGACTTGGTCGTTAAAGCTGCGTTCCTGACGACTCTGGTAGTACATGATGAAGGCAATGCACTCGTCCAGATCCATGAACGCGTCAACCCACTCTTTAAGCTGCTTCCATGCCGACTCTAAGCGGTTGTTAGTATTGTTTCCAAGAGTAACCGTGTTTTGACGCTTGTATGCACACCATAGCTCTCTGCAGCTATCCCAATTCTTCGTAAAGTAGGGCTTCAAACGCATGCAGATTGGGGTCGCATTCCTCTTCGGCTTCATTGTGAGCATCCGAGCCGGCTTGAGTCTGAACTAAGTCCGCATCACCAACGCGAAACCCAATTGGACCCGAATCACCCGCTGAGTGCCCGACTGGAGCTCGAATCCAACATTAAGTGCCCAACTGAGCCCGAATCAGCCACAGCCTGCCCGAGTAAGCTCGAACTGCCCGAAGCAACGCCAAATGTCACAAGGTGGCGGAGGTAGCGACTACACGGAAGGAAGAAAGCCAAGTTTGTTGTACGGACACTGATACAGGCATACTTCCAGGACTAACCCGGAAGTGCAATATGCGTTCAAAATTTCGATGACTCACTGAATCCTGCAATTCGCATTACGTATCGCAGTTCGCAGCGTTCTTCATCGATGTGCGAGCCTAGACATCCACTGCTGAAAGTTGCTATCTAGTTAAAAGCAGAGACTTTCGTCCCCACAGTATAATCAGTATTAAGTAAAGGGTTTAAAATAAAAAAGCTACTAGCTCAGACCGAAGTCCAAACGCTCGCCTTTTGATAGGGCTCGCCCAGCAGTAGCCGCCAGCAATAAAGCCAGCAGCCGCCGCCAAGTAAGACCCCCAACTATTGGGTTGAAACGGTTCACGTGGAAAGTTTTTAGGTGTGGTAATGATCCTTCCGCAGGTTCACCTACGGAAACCTTGTTACGACTTCACCTTCCTCTAAATGGCGAGGTTTAAAAAAGTTCCCATCAATCCACTCGCAATAAAGCAAACAGACTCACGGTCCCAATTTTTCACCGAGTCATTCAATCGGTAGGTGCGACGGGCGGTGTGTACAAAGGGCAGGGACGTAATCAATGCAAGCTGATGACTTGCGTTTACTAGGAATTCCTCGTTCAAGACTGAAAATTGCAACAGTCTATCCCTAGCACGATGCGCATTC